CCTCAAGAACTGGGACTAGGCCAGGCCAAAGCTGGCAGCCAGGGACTCAGTCTGTGGCTCTCACATGGGTGGTAATTACTACTAGAGGCGGCACCTGCTATACTCCAGGGTGCAGGAGACTGGAATTTTTAGTGGAGATGAGTGGAAAATCTGGTATAGAATGCAGGTATTCCAAGCAGAACCTTAACTGCTGCAAGAAATGCCTGTCCTAAATCCCATATTGTCACTAAAATATGTTCTTTGGTGTCTTTCATCCTGCAATGAGAGAAAGTCCAATTCCTGCCTAAAACTGATGTAAATGAACACTTTCTTTCAAGCCAGGGTGGAAGTGAATTGCTTTAGTGCTTTGGTTGGGAGCAAGTGGAAACTTGAAGAACTAAGAGGGTAGTGAGGTTCTAAGCATAGCAGTGGTGGGTGGATCACAAAAGTGGACAACTCAGAAAATGGGAAGGGCAACTTCAGGACACATGTCCCTGTATTCACACTTTTGCTTAAGGTCAAACTTATAAAATCATGTGCAAATCACCCACCCAGTTTAAATCTGTATATTTGAAACTTTCTATCTTGTGTAATTCTCTTTCTTTAATGACAATTGGTTATTTAAGAGGGAGAGGAGAGGGTAGGGGTGAGGATGGAAGAGACAAAGCAAACTGCTATCTTCTGGATTACTCTTGAAATGCTCAGAACCAGGAGTTTAGCACTAGAAGCTGAGAGAACTCAGAAAAGCAATCCAGAGTTCAACTGTGCCTAAGATTAGACTGAAGTTTCAAAATATTGGAAAGTGTAGGTGTGTGCAATTCCAACCAAGCACTAGCATTGATAAGGAGACAGCTGTTGACATAAATAAATGATATTTGGTGTTCATAAATATAAAACTGAAAGAATAGGGAGACGATGGACAGCCGTCTCTCCAGAGGCACATAGAGAATTCTGATTGTTTACTGTAAGCTGAATGACAGGGATTATCAGGAATGAATTCACTAGAGTGAATTGGAGGAAGTCAGGGTGGGGGTGTCTCACCACGACCATGCCAACACAGCTGAAGAGCAGGAGTTACTGGTCTCCAGCTGTCACAGAGTGAGCTAAGATATAAACAGATCATATTCTAAGGACAGCAACAGATCCTCATCTTTTGTAAGGACACAGGGTTCCGAGAATGTTCTAAATGCTTGGAACCTTCTCATTTTAGAAGGGAAGTAATGAAAATGCTGTGGATTTTATGGCTACTAATTGTAAAATAAAGTGGAATTTATGATTACTCTCCTCTTTCCTCCAACACACACACACACACACACACACAGAGTAATTTTTGATATCCTTATTACTGCCAGGGAAATGCCTTGGGGCTAGATAACACAGTTTCTATAAAAATATACTTCCATCACCTTGACACTAAGATCCACCCATTTACACACCAGTAGTCATTAACACAGCAACGTATTTTTGTGATTAAATTATACCAAAATTCAAACTCTGACACAAATCTGGAAAGAGCTAAACATTAGTGGCAAAGGAAATGGAAGACAGCGGCTGAGCAAGACACTCACACATCTCCCACAGCAACACAAACTTTAACACCTATCCATGTATCATGCAATCCCCCAAAGAGCCAAGGGAATGAGATGAGCTCCTACAGCACCTAGTTTCAGTATAATAGTAAGAAAAGATGCATTATAGAATTCAGTAAGTCAAGTACTGTGTGTGAAGAGGGCATAGCGAACAGACCTTAGACTTGAAACCTAGTATCAGCCTTGCTACAGTGAATGCAAAAGAGGATATTGGCCTTTGCCCTCAGGCCAGCACTTGTAGGAGTCTTTGGCCCCAGGGCACTGCTTTCACCATTTCTTCCCCAGCCTCCAGGCAACAGCAGAGAAAGACTATAGCCAGAAGGAAACAGGATGGGAAAGGAAACTTAAGTACTTGAAACTGAAAGTTGAGTCTTGCAGTGGGTCCCAGTGCTGCATCAAGCCCAAAGGCCTCTGTTGCAGGCTAGTTCTCACTGATGATGTGTGTCTTGATGGAACAACTGAGTGTTGTTTTTATGTCACTCCCCACCTTTTGTGTACTTGGTGTGGCATGTGCAAGTCAGCATAGGATCCTGTAGCTATGATAATTAGGCACAACCCAGTTTAGTGAAAGCTTGGGCAGCCAAGGAATTGCCTTTATCATTCTCCCCCTGCCAACCGTGGACAGAGAGAAAGAACAAAAGTCCAGCCACTGAAAACTAGAATGTAAAAAGTCAGTATATGCATCTTGGATCTATTAAAACCTTTCCTGGGAGGATCTGTCTTCAGGTAAGTACTATGGGTGGAGTTCCTGGACCTGTCCTTACCCCAAATGGAGATCCAAGCACAGGAGGGCGGCCAGAGACTATAGCCAAGCTCTCAAAAGTTCAATGCAAAGGATTCCAAAATTTGCAAGAGAAACTCACCAGTTAAATTTCAAGGGAACCCCCTTTGGGTTCATAGGAGACTTTTCAGTTGAAACCTTAAAAGTTAGATGGGAAGGTAGTGACATTTTCCAAGACCCGAGGGGAAACAAGCACCAACCAAGAATATTTTGCATAGAGAAGTTATCTTCTACATCAAAGCACTTGATTCCAGTCCTAGATACTCTACTGCTGACGCAATTTCCTTCTAACTCAGACCCCGGGAGGCAGTGTTGATGGCACAAGTGGTTGGGACCCCGCCACCCTAATGAGTGACCTGGTCCTCATAAGTTTCGAGGTCCTGGCTCTACCTCAGTAGTTATGGACATTCAGCAATATGAGGGGGTAAAAAACAGTTGAGATTTCTATCTTTCTGTCTCTCTATTCTCAAAAAAAACATCTCTGGAAGTGGAGAAAAACTGCAAGAAGTTTGGAAAGAGATAAGGCTAACTCTGCACTGTGGATACACACTATGAGTGTATTCATTTATTAGGGCTTGATGATTTACCAGTAAACTGGTGAAGTAAAATGGAAAATAGAGTATATTCAAGACATCTCAGGAAAGAAGTAAAGTGTGTACAGACATACACATATATGAACACTACTGAGTTTCAAAGAGTTGGTAAAAATTTTCATTCATTTTCCCCCAAATTTTTGAAGCTCCTGTGTGCATGTGTGTTTATGTTATATAGTATGCTGTATTTTTCAATGGGACACTGTCCAAAGCGTTAGAAAAATATTGCTACAGAGACAAATTTCCTTCACTTTTGAAAACCATGGAGTATGGACCACTAGGAATTCGACCTCCAGAAAATCAGATTTGGGAAAACAAGATGTAGAAGAATGATCTACAGGTTGCTACCTAAAGAAGCTTTAAAAAGTACACTTTGGAGGTGTCCTTGTCAAACAGGTTGCTGGGAACACCAAAAACTTTAAAGAAGAGGGCAGATACAAGGTTACATTTATCATGTTGCCCATATTTTCATGCCTTCCTAAAACCCTTAGGAAAGATCATGATTAAAAAAGTGGGCTGTATTTATGAAAGTTCTGACCCTGCCTCTAATGCCCTTTCTCTTTTCTTTAGATCAGAGAGCAGTGCTGGTAGGAATGGTGTGTTTGCATGAAGCCTGAGGCACATCCATGAAGCAAGGTAAGGGCTGCAAAAGGCAGCCCAGGTCTGTGTTTCCTATACCACGAATCAGGGACACTTACTCCAAAGATAGATCATTACTGAGTTTGGGAGTCATAACTTCTTATCTTTTCCCATGGAGATGTGAAAGAAACATTGAGGGGCCATAGGGAAAGATTCCTTATCCTGTTGAAGCGTTGGTGGTATAGTGGTGAGCATAGTTGCCTTCCAAATCCTGTTAAAGGGCAGGTGGGAGAAACTCAAGCACTGCCTCCAAAAATGTGTGTTAGCAGGAAGCTGGAATCACAAATGGAGTTGGGATTTGAACCCATACACTTTGATATGGGATGTGGGATTTTTTTTCACAGATTTGTTTATTTTACTTGAAAAGCAGAATTACACAGATAAGAGAGAGAGAGAGGTAGGGAGAGAGAGATAGTAGTCTGTAGTCTTCCATGTGCTGGTTCACTTCCCAAATGACCACAATGGTTAGTGGTAGGCCAGTTCGAAGCTGGGAGCCAGGAGCTACTTCTGGGCCTCCCACTTGGGTGCAGGGACCCAAGGCTTTTGGCCACCTTCTATTGCCTTCCAAGGCCAAAAGCAGGGAGCTGGGATAATTACAGAAACCAGAACTTGAGCTAATACCCATGTGGGATGCCCATGCCATAGGTTGAGGATTAGCCTGGTATGGCACTGACCTTGCCTCTCCAAGTGGCATTTTAATCACAGTACCGCTTGCCTACCTCTGGAAAGAAAATTGTGATTTAGCAATTTTTAATTTTCTATATACATCAAATAACCTTAATATAAGCAGTTAATTTTATGACTGTGTCAGTGTGCTGAGTTTTGTCTAAGTTATTTAAGATGGCCATAAGCTTGAGGACAACCTATTGCTAATTGTATTAACTATAAGAAAGAGGAATTCTTGGATAGGTTCCTTACTATTTTTATGGTGAGATGTTTTGATTCTATCTTTGTGTTAGAGCTCCTAAGGGATTTGGTTATTTTAGTGCTTACCTTCACTGAGATGAAGGAAACTCAGTGAAATATTAAAAAAAAGCCTACTATTTAATGCCCCATTTGTGGCATTAAATGCATTAAAATGTCACGATTTTTAAAAAGCCTCTGTTAGCCTATTTTTATCATTTAGGACAGAACTCTGGTGCAGTTTTCTTCTATGTTGGTCAACATGGAAAGTTACTGTTTATACAGTGGGGACAAGAGTGATGTCGCCATAGCCTCTGTGAAGCAGAAAAGTAGACAAGCACTCAGAGATGCCAATCAGCTCAGCTATTCTGGGCCCTACAACACTGTGCACTTGAATGTGTTGGATGGAATCGCTTGTGTTTGGACCTCAGCCTTACGTGGTACACTGCTTGCCTCGTCACACACTAAACACCTGGCTGTCCATCTACAGGCCAGGGAAGAGGAGAGGGACTGCTGACAATGAGACTTGGAGTGTTGTGGTTCGTCTCTTTCTTGACTGTCATGGAGGGCCACGAGGGTTTCCTATGGGTGAGTTGGCCTAAGTCCCATTTTTCTTTTCAACTTCCCTCCTATCTCCTTTGTGGTAATTTTGAAATCAACTCCTCTTAGGGCAATTAAAATTACATAATTCAGTCAGAATTCCTAAGTTCATGCTTCAACATTATCGGTATTCACTGTGTGGTTGTTTAATCAGTACAACAAAATACCAGCAGTTAACGTCATAAAAGGGAGGTTTAATTCAGCTTACAGTTTTGCAGGTGCACACTACAGGATGCAGAAGCTCCCACTGGATTGGCCTCTGCTGGTGAGCTTATTGGTAGTAAGTTCTGGAGGTGGCACAGAACATCCCATGGCAGGAAATGGGGAGTGGGTGTTTGTGTATGTCCATGTGGACAGTTACTACAATTCAATCTTGAGGCCCCCATCCTAATGACTTAACCCAACGTAATTATTTTCTAATCTCTGGATACCTTAATTAGATTATATGTCCCCCCTTAACAAAAGACTTTGAGGAGTCAGCTCAGGAGTCTGAGGGACAAATATTTAAGCCTCAGCAGTGGTCATGGATGTGTAGTTTAATTTCTTTTCAACTTGTGGAACTGAAATGCAAAATGAGGATCTTTAACTAAACTGGCTTGGCTATTGTTTCTAGCTGAACATACTGTGTGTTACAGCCTTATGAGTGCAGGAAAAGCAAATGTGTTGCTATTAACAATCCCTGGAACCTCCTTCTTGTTTATTCTCATTTTTTTGGTGATTTGCTCCAGGGTCAATTTAAAGCTTCCTACAAATTGGTGATTCCCAAGTTTCTATCTCAGATCTCTACCCTGGACTACATATGGGCATATTACCACCTATTGTTAATTCTAGCTAGGCACTCAATAGATCTGTCAACTTCGTATGTCCAAAATCAGATCTCAACTTTTCTCATCAAATTTGTTGATACTTTCCTACCTTAGAATGTGGCCTCATCATTTCTCTTGCTACTTGGATAGAAAACATGGTGCCATGCTTGATCCCTCACACTCCATATCCAGGCCATCGGCAGCATTGTTCAACTTCATCTTTAAAATATCCGCAGAATTCAAACACTTTTCATTATGTTCATGGCTGCTACCTAGACCCACTTCATCTTGATCTTCTCTCATCTGTTATTCTAACAACCTAAGAAACGCTGCCATTGCTTCTGTCTATTCTCCACGTGGCTGCAGGATTGAGTCTACCAAAAAGTAAACTAGAGCATATATTTCAAACCCTGCAGTGCTTTCCCACCACATGCAAGTAAATCCTAATGTCCTTGCCATGATCCTTAAAGAGTGTGATACCCTGACTCCCCAGAGATGCTTTTATCTGTTCCTCTCTTCCCACCTGCTCCTCTTAGCGACTCTGCTGTCCTGTCTGCCTCCCCATACCAGACATTGTCTTACTTATGGTCCTTAGTCCTTGCTGTTCCCTCCATCTTGGAAGCTCTTCCTTTAGAGACCCCCAGTTCTTTCCCACCTTCAGTTGCTTCTCTGGGGACTCTCCTGGCTCTCTTCTCTGCCTGGCTTGGATTTTAGATTTAGGATTTCACTTCACCTTGGAAAGTCAAGATCAAGGCCTGTGAAGTGCAACTCTCCAAAGCCTCATCATAACTAACTGTTTCTTTTTAACAGAGAAATGGTAACATGAAAACAAAAAGAGAATTCAGTGTGGACAAGAAAATGCATCAAGGTGAGACTTCACTAGGTAGTGTGCTGCAGTGGATTTTGGTGCGGAGCAACTTCTAATCCCAGTAGTTCCTCTGACCAGCTGATCTTTGTCCCATTGGAAACACTTAATACTTATGTAGTTGGACTGATGGTAAGTCTAAAGGCAAGATATTTGTGAGGTTTAAATAATACAATAAACGCATAGCGTTTGTTTCATACCTGACAAATGATTATTCCATATCTTTCCTTTCCTTCTTTGTTCTGATCATGATATAATTAAACAGCCCAACCCTTAACCTCAGAGTGAGCTGAGTTCTGAAACTTAACTCATGGGTCCCATGTTTTCAGTGCTGAAAATATTTCTTATAGAGACAGTGATGCATACTGATGATTGGTCAGTCCACAGAAGCTGTTCTTCCATGCAATGAGTCAACCATACAAAAATGTGCAAATAATACCGTGAAATCTACCACCATGCAAAGTTACAATTGTTTGTGAAAATTAAATCAAAACTTTAAGTTGCAGTGCCATGAATACATTTTCCTTGGCAGTGAGAATACAAGCCTGTATTTGTTTATTCATACATGCCAGATATTATTTCAATTACATGAGATGAATTCAATTCTTATATCAACCACCTAAATTAAATACAATGGTCACCTTTATGTTACAGATAGTAAAACTAAGACACAGAGCTAAGGGCAGAAACCAGAATTCAAACCCAGTGCATCTAGCACCAGGACTACTACCATTCTACGGACAGTGTAGCTAGTGTCACTCTTTTGCCTATTTCTCATATGTCACCATCTTGGGAAGCTCCAGTGAAATTGGTCCTAGCTCTCCCTGACTCCCAAGGCTTGGGACAGAAGTTCTAGCCTGATAGAAGATGGAGAGAGTAAGAGCTGGGCTGAAAGTTGGACTATCCATAGATGAACTGCAAAAGATCTCAAATCCTGCAAAACATCTTACTAAATTTCAGAATCATAAATCTAAGGCAATTTGGGGTGGGAATAAATTCAGAGGATTCATCTTCTCTTCCAAAGCAGAACAGTTAATGGCTTCCCCTTGGGAAAAAGTACAGGTGTTCCTTACAAACTATTATCTAGGAATGAGTGTGCACTAAACCACATGTTAAAATTTAATTCTGGTTAGCTTTTTTATTTTATATAAGTACTCAAACTCACCCAATTGAGACTATTTTCAGAAAAGAAGAAAGTGCTCTTTGGAATGTGTGAGACAGAGTTTTATATTGAAGACACTGAATGGAGACCAGAGCCAAGAGTGATAAAGATTTTTTTTTTACCTGTTGTCCTTTCAGTTTTAACGTATGGGACTTCAATCTGCATGGGCTCTGAAGAAGTGTGTCAAATTAGGAGAGTTATTCTGGGAGAACACAGAAAGCACAGAATCAGAGGCTACATGTACATTAGCCGTAATGTGGGAGCTAAATGGGTGTTCATTTTTCCATCAGTGTTTGATCAACAGAACTCGGCACCAAGCAGTGTCCTCATGATTTTTAGGGTGCACCTGATGGAAGCTTTGTTTTTTATCCTCAGTCGTATGCCACCCCAGACAGAAACATTTCTTCTAACTATCTTTCTCTTTTTAAATGCAGTCCAGGAATATGAATTGCTGCTTCAAGTGACCTATACAGATGCCCAGGACAAAAATGTCTTGAAGGATTTTCTGAATTCCTGGAATTTTTCACCATTCCAGCTGTATGGGTCAACACAGATCATCAGAGCAAAGGCTACCACGTGTAAGCTAGCAATCTGGTGGTGAGAAGTGTAAATAGATGAGCCACTTTAGGCTAGGATGCCCTGCAAGAAATGGTCATTCCTAAGTCTCTGAGGCTTGAAACAATAAAGGTTTCATTTCTTCTTTGTGCTCTATGTCCCATTGCAAGTGAGCAGAGGGACCGTGTCTGTGCTCATTACTTGGGAAACCAAGCTGACGTATCAGACGGTAACTGAAATGTGTCCAGCCTGAGCCGTGAAGAAATGAAACCACACACAACTTCAATGAAACAACTGAATTCTCTAACTCAGAATTGGCACATGAAAATTCTGGTTGTGATTCACTGCCCAGAACTGGTGCCATGGCTCTAGCCAACCTCAGGGGGGCTAGGATTTGCAACCTTAAAGAGTACCTGGAAGAAAGTAATACATAGTTGGCCAATGGCACTAATAATCACAAAGATGTGCAGGGAAGTTAAATGATTATTGTGAAGCAGGGATTCTTTTTTTTTTTTTTTTTTCATTGGAAAGGCGGATATACAGAGAGGAGAGACAGAGAGGAAGATCTTCCGTCCGATGATTCACTCCCCAAGTGGGCGCAACGGGCCGATACTATGCCGATCCGAAGCCAGAAGCCTCTTCCGGGTCTCCCACGCGGGTGCAGGTTCCCAAAGCTTTGGGCCGTCCTCAACTGCTTTCCCGTGCCACAGGCAGGGAGCTGGAAGGGAAGCGGGGCTGCAGGGATTAGAACCGGCGCCCATATGGGATCCCGGGCGTGCAAGGCGAGGACCTTTAACCACTTGCGCCACCGCGCCGGGCCCGAAGCAGGGATTCTTAAAGTGTTGTGCCCAGGCCAGCACAAGGAGATTGAATGAAAATGCCTTGTCCCAGATTTGCTGAATAAGAATTCCTGTGATGACATCTTCTAAGTCATACTGATATATGACATAGTTTGAGAATCACCTCATTTTTATTACTATATATGTTTTCACCAAGATTTGCTCCAGTTTTTGATTAATAAAAAGGGTGACTATTAGTGGGGATTTCTGGTTTGATAGAAGAAAATGAGCATACAAAATTGGTTGATGAAGTTGGTTTTTTTGTTTTTGTTGTTTTAAATTTTAATCATGACTTCCCAGAGAGGACACTCTGTCATTTCCAGCTGGCTTGTAGGATCTATCTTGGATTGGTGACAGGTCTACCGAGAAGGTCATGGTCAAATGTCCTCGAGATATTTGCAGATATATCCTTTTGTATCTGTCGTCCATTGCAACAGATATCTGCAGGGCCGACATTTTTCTTTTGAGAGTTAAGCCCAACCATCTTACTTTCAAGTTTGCTCTGCTTCTTTTGTCAACCTTGGAATCTCTCGAGTTAGACATTTATTTATCTTAAATATATCACCATCTTGACTCAAAATCTAGATTTTGTTGAGAAACATGTGGTTCAGATTTTATGTCAGAATAAGTGATCTGAACTCAGCAGTCAGTTCATAAATTAGACTCCATGAGACAAAGTTCTTTTTTTTTTTTTTTTTTTTTTTTTTTTGCAGCTTGTAGCAGCCTGGACGGAGTCCTGTGGTGTGGCTGTGAAGAGAGCTACACATGGTTTCCTCTCTCATGTCTTGACCCCCAGTATTGTCATCTTCACATGGCTACATCACCCGCAAGCTGTGAATGTCATCTCAACAACCTCAGCCACAGTGTCAATTTCTGTGAGAGAGCAAGTAAGCACATGAAGATGATGATCTGAGCCAGGGTCTATCCAACCTCAGTGTGCATCAGAGAGGGAACTGCACCTGTTTGCCTCAGTGAGGAAAGGCAACATTCTTAGAGACATTGAATATTGATGATATTCCCTGTTAGGTGTGGCTAGACCCGGTGAGAATATCATCAGGGTAAAGATCCAGAAATACAAGTTAATGATTGGGCATCACTTCAACCTCTAGGAAGATCCAATTCAGCTCTGCAATTCTACAATTCTATTGAGCTTTCAGGAGTAAAATAGCAAAGAGAGAAATTGGTTGAATAAGCATTAGTGCTCTTTTTAGCTACTTTTCACTTTTGCCAAGAGCAAACATCTTTTGATAGATGTCATGCTTGATGCATGCTCAAAACATGCAATGATACACCACTAGGGTCTTTCCATGGAATGATGGAGACATATGTAGGAGGGACATGCCCATAAACAATGTTTAGATACAGAGACCGTGAAGGAGTATGGCTATAGTGCTGTAGGGATGCACGGGGTATTTACAGAAGTGATGGCATTTGATCAGGTCGGAAGGTTAGATAAGATTTGTTAATACAAAAAAAAAATGTTGAAGTTAGCAAGTGGTGATTTTGTTGTTTGAATTTTTAAGTTTTTTGTTTCTATAAGAACAATGATTAAGCTTGTTCTTAGTATGGAAGTACAAGGACCTCATAGCACAATAGTAGTGTGTCTGACTCCAGAATGGAAATACATTCCAGTGTTCCAAGATAGCCTTTTCTAGCCACACATGAGTGGTGGTACATAAACTTACTTGTCACGTATCCTGGTTTCCAGTATATTCTCATTACTGTTCCAAATCACTTTTGAAAATTCTGGAGTTTATGCTTTCTATTTTTTTATTTTAGGCAAACATTTGTTATGGGAAGAAATGGAAGTTATCACTGTTGAATAGATGAGGTCTGAATTGTACTTCTATAATAATATTTTCCTAATAAAATCAAGATAGTAATTTACTATTTCCATGAACTTGTTTTTATCTCCAAAGAGGTGTGGGGAACTTTCAGAATTAATGAAAGATTTACAAAAGACCTTTTGAATTTGTCTTCTCCCATATACTCCAAATACACAGCTGGAATTGAAATGCAAGTAAGTACTTTTCAACTTATTATAAGGAATTTACTGCTAAATACACATTCATATGTCTTTAACATGTATTTTTAATGTGTGTTATTCATCATGTGTTTTCAACGAGTTATTACAAAGCAGTTTTTTGCTCTACCTACAAGTAAGTGCCATTCCTTGAGCATTTTCTTTCTAGGAAAGTTTAGTGACTGATTGCTTTCTCCTTCTGTTGCAAGTTGGCTATTTGGGTAATATTTTGCCCAAATAAAATTTTTATGACCTAAATTTGATCATCTACATTTGTATTCTTCCATAAAGAAGACCTTCAAGTAGAGCCTGAAAAGTTTACCACGCAAAACTCTCGACTTCTTTATGAAGTCACACAAAAGCTAGATTAGCATAGGAAAATGGTTCAGATAGGGTTCTGACTAAAGGTATGAACAATTACATTGTAGTTAAAATTGATTTAAGTGCTTAGCAAGATCAATGGTTTGTTTTTAATGAAAAATCAGATTTGTTGTAATACTTGGCACCAAGTATATCCTGTGACTGATTACCCACTGATTATTTACAATTTTTTTTAAAGAGGTTTATTTTTACTGGAAAGGCAGATTTACAGAAAGGAGAGACAGAGAGAAAATTTTTTCATTTGCTAGTTACTCTGCAATGGCTGAAATGTCAAGAGGAGCCAGGAACTTCTTCTGGGTCTCCCATGTGGGTGTAGGATCCCAAGGCTTTGGGCCATTCTCTGCTGCTTTCCCAGGCCATAAGCAGAGAGCTGGATGGGAAGCAGAGCAGCCCAGACATGAAATGGTGCCTATATGGGATTTTTGTGCTCAGAAAGGGACAATTACCCAATTGAGCTAAGACCCAATTATTTACAATTTTAAAAATAAATTTTATGTATCTATGTGTACCTGCCTCTTTGTACATTTACATTCTTGACTGCAATTTTAACTGTATTTGTATGACATGCAACTACTTAACTTTGCATGTATTTGGTTATTTACTACTGTTTTTAATTTATTCTGTTTAGTTTATAACAGATTTAATGTGATATGTAAGTATAATTCTAAGAATATAATGCTATTTTTCCCGTCATCACTCCTCATTTTTTAATTTCTCTCTGTCTCTCTCTCTCTCTCTCTCTCTTTTGGTTTTGCAATAGCATACTTTAAATTTATTGTGAGCATCTACTATTTGCTGAAATGTCTTTTTGAAGGGTGGGACAAATATTAACACATTGTACTTTATTCTCTTTCTAAGCTTAAAGAAGCATACAAAGGGATTCAAGGTTTTGAGTCAGTTCAGGTCAAGCAATTTCGGTAAGTAACAATGACCTTGAAAGAACAAGCCAGAATCATGTACCAGTCCTATAGAGTACAAATTTATGTTCCCAGGTGAACAGGGCAGAAAACAGGGCAGAATTTGTCTTTTCAGTAGAATTCTTGCCAGCAGAAGAGTCCACAATCCTTCAAAAAATTCTAAAGGGGAATGTCTAGGTCCTCAATTGAATGAGTTTAAGAAGATAAAATTTAAAGAACATTCTCCAAGTTGTGAATCAGAGAATAGAATTGCAAAGCCATGTAAGTTTGGAAGGAAGCAGGAAATGATGTGCATGGTACGAAAAGGATAAAGGGTGGACATGTGAGTTTTTTCTTTTTCCTTCCTTACTTTTAGGAGAAATGACATGTAACCTGCAGCCGGAGGAGAGCCTTGGGTATAATATAATTTGTACAGTTGTCATGTGTACACCATAGTTCAAAACCCCGTGGTTACTGTCTACAGCAAACACAGAAATATTTAGTAAATTTTATTTTTGCTTATATCTTAACCATAAAAGCTATGTAGCTAGTTAATTATGTGTTGGTTAAGAAACTATCAAAATGGGCCTGGCGCAGTGGCGCAGTGGTTAAGGTCCTCGCCTTGCACGCCCGGGATCCCATATGGGCGCTGGTTCTATCCCAGCAGCCCCGCTTCCCTTTCAGCTCCCTGCCTGTGGCCCGGGAAAGCAGTCGAGGACGGCCCAAGGCTCTGGGACTCTGCACCCACATGGGAGACCCGGAAGAGGCTCCTGGCTTCGGATAGGCATAGTACCGACTGTTGCGGTCACTTGGGGAGTGAATCATCTTAGGGAAGATCTTCCTCTCTGTCTCTCCTCTCTGTATATCCGCCTTTCCAATAAAAAATAAATAAAAATAAATCTTAAAAAAAAGAAACTATCAAAATTCCACTTATTATAGGAAGTAGCTTAGATGTCAGAGAACTTGACATAGGAAATTTCCAACAGCTTTTCCTAAAGTCATACTGGAATTGTCTCTTGAGTTATCCACATCTTACTATACAGATTCCTCCAAGAGTTTTATTTAAAATTCAATGTTAGGAAAAAGATTTTTCTTTTTTATACATTGGAAGCCTATATAACAAATCATATTTTTCACTTTTGATTTTGCAACAGTGAGCAGGCAGACAGAATTTAAATTCAATATTTTTATTCTACATAACTATTTGTCTATTTCCCTTGCCTTGCTTTTATGTTTCTTTCCATTTCTGACTTATATTCCATTATGTGTATTTATACATCATTTCCAATAATGTGTGGGCATATTATAATAAAAGTAGGCAAAAGTTAATAAGTTCATTTTTAGGCTTAACTGTGTACATGTATGATTTAAAAGAAGTTTTAATTTCCTAGTGTCTTAACTTAGCTAACAAGTAGGACAATTAATGTCTATGAAATCTGAATTAGCTTTATTAAGTAAAATAAAACAAAACGCATGAAAATATATTGCACGCAGTGTAGAAGTGACCCATTGATTCAAAGGCAATAGTAACATCAATCAGACAAAGGCGTATTTGGATTTATTAATGTAGTTTGAGCAAAAGCTCAATGAAGTAAGTAAGAATTTGCACTTTGGAGCCACATACATTCTAACCTATCAATTAATAATAAAGCTTATCTAGCCCAATTTTTCTTCAGGCTTTAATTGCATGATTTATAAAATGAGGATAACACCATGTTTAGTTCATGGAGTTAAGGAAGGGTTAACCTAATACATGTGATTTCATTCACTTTCATGGCTTCAAACACCATCTGCATTCTTGTGGTTTTAGTTTTGTTTCTTGAGTTGATGTCTACCCTAAACTTCAGAGGCACGTATCCAACTGCCTGCTCGATGTCTTCACTTGGTTTTCCAGCAGGCAGTGGAAGAGAAAGTGTCAGGTCCTGAGGTTCTTCACCTCTTTTCCTAATCTACAGCCTACTTCTCCCACTGTCTGGTCCATCTCACTTAGACTGATGTGATTTTTTTCCACTGCAAGGCTCAAACCTTGGAACTATCCTTTATTTCAATGTATTTTACTAAGATATAATTTACATGCGGCGGTACACTTAAACCTGAGGCGAACGGTTCAATCAGCTTTCACTAATGTTTCAGCTAGTCCTTCATGCCAAGGCAGAGCATTTCTATCTCATTCAAAGTGCCTAGTATTCCTTCCCAGACATGTCTATCTCCTGGATCCCTCAGCAGAAGCAACCACTGTTCTAATTTTTATTGTCAAATGTGAGTTATGCCTGTTGCAAATTTCATGTGTAAGAAGTAGCCTGGGATGTAGCTTTCTTTCTCTCAGTGTAACATTTGTGAGATTTGTCTGTTTTCTGAGTGTCTGTGGTGTCTTCCTTCCCAGTGTACTTCTTCAATAAATATGCCAGAAGTTGTTTTTTTCACTCCTTGAAGTGATTTTTCACTGATTTCTTTCTCTGACATCTGTAATCTGCTTCACCAGCAAGTCCTATGGCTATGTCTTTAAATACAGCTGGGATATGACCACTCCTCTAAACATGCATGGCTACCCAACTAATTCCAGCCACCATCACTTCATTCTTGCTTCCCTGTTTGCCTCCCTATAGCGTATTTTATACACAGAAGCCAGAGTGATGATCTTAAACACTAAGTTTGATCACTTTAATTACTTTTAATGAAGAATACAGTTAAACCTGTAAGCCTGTATGAAATTTAGCTTATGGGAAATCATCTAATATCATCTATTTCTTTCCTTTACTCGTTGCTTTTTGTTTAACTCATGCTAGTTTCTAAGTTTGCCAAATGAACAGTTTGCTGCCTTGGTGACTTTACTGGCACACTACAAAAATGTCCTTCCCATCATTGCCTTTCCTTGTCCTCCTTTAGACATCAGCTTCTAGTAATCTCCGCACAGAGAAGCCTTCCTTGACCAGCCTTGTGTAAAGTGTGGCCTTAGTTCTATCTGCTACTCTTGCTAGTGCATTTGTCTGTCTTAGCATCTAATATGTTTAAATGTATGTGGGAGTATTTGGTAGATATTTATTTGCCTTGATTTCTCATTAGCATGAAAGTGGGAACAAAACTTATTAGCTTTACTTCTATGGACTAAATATTATGAACACAAAGAATAAGCTTGGAGAAATTGGTTAAGTAAATCGTAGTCCTTATTTTTCTTTCCTGCAGAGATGGAAGCATTGCTGTTGGTTTTGAAGTCATTGGCTCCAGCAGCTCATCAGAGCTGCTGCTGTCCCTTGAGCAGGTGGCAGATAAGGCTAAGACAGCCCTTCACCAGCTGTTTCCACTGGAAGACAGCTCTTTCAGAGTGTTCCAAAAAGGTAATACTGAACTCCCATTGTCTGCTTGGGTTAACCAAATCCTTTAATTAGTAGTTCATTCATGTCCTCAGGAAGTCGGTGGATGATTTTTCTGATTGGCTAAAACAGTGTTTCAGTAGAAAAGGCAGCTGTTTTCCCCTGCAGTGATACAATTCAGCTGCAGTTTTGCCTATTTCCAATCCTTGCTGATGAATGCTCTGATCTCCATCTCCTAGTGTAAGCAGTATGAATGGCTGATTTCACTGCAGACTGATATACAAATTGAAAGATCCTGACGCTGTCAATCACAGCGTAAAAAAACTAAGGAAAGAATGCAATGATTCATATTTTATACCTCTCACACACAGGCTCATTATTTCTTTTCTTTTAATTTCTTTTTTTGAATTTCAGTTTTAAAGAACACATGATAGTTGTAGATATTTATAGAATACAATGCAGTGTCTCAAAGATGCATACACTATGATATGATCAAATCAGAGTAACCAGTATATCTAGCACCTTAAACATTTATCATTTTTTGAGTGATCATACTCAAAATAATTTCTTTCCTCTGTTTTGAAAAACATGAAAATATTCAGGCATAAAAAGAATGAAAATCTGGATGTAGTGAGTAAGGCCACTCCCTGCAGTGTTGGCTTCCCATGTGGTCACCATCTGTTGGCCTGGCTGCTCCATTTCTGACCCAGCTTCCTGCCAATGGTCTCAGAAAGGCAGCAACAGGAGATCTGAGTGGGCTCCTGCTATCCATGTGTGAAACCTGGAGGAGGCCCCCATCTCCTGGATGTGGCCTGGCCATGATCAGCCATCTGGACGGTGACAGAGATGGAAGATCTCTTTCTTGTTTCTCCCACTCTTCCCTGTAACACTTTCAAATAGACAGATAAAATCTTTGAAGAGAAGAATGAAATTCTTTAATTTTCAGCAATACAGATAAGCCTGGAGAACATTGTGTTATGTAAAATAACCAAGCAAAGGAAGACTAACACTATATAATATTGATCATATATAGAACCTAACAGAGTTGATCTCACAGAAGCTGTCAGAATGGAAGTTACTAGAACCTGAAGAGAGGTAGGAGTACGGGGAGAGGAAATGGGCCAATGAGTTGCAGTTAGATAGGAAAAGCAAGGTTTAGTGTTCTGTTTCATGGTGTAGGAACTAGCAATAACACATTTTATATTCTTTTTACTTCTATATGCTAATCTTAAATCTCTACTGCCAAACTGTGTGCCGCTCTCAGCCTTTACTGCTAAAATGTGTGCCACTTTCAATATTTATTGAGCAAACATTCATTAAGTGGTCAAAATGTTTAGGCATTTAAGATACAGCAATTGAGGAAACAAACAAACAAACAAAAATAGCAGTCCTTATGGAACCCAGTCAGCATTTTCATCCTTCAGTTTCTTTCATACTAGAGTAGCTCACAGCAAGTTGCAATTTGTGAGGCTTTAATAAGAAATGTAAAATAGGGCCTAGCACGATAGCCTAGTGGCTAAAGTCTTGGCCTTGCAAGCACCGGGATCCCATATGGGCACTGGTTCTAATCCCGGCAGCCCAGCTTTCCATCCAGTTTCCTGCTTGTGGCCTGGGAAAGCAGTGTAAGACAGCCCAAAGCCTTGGGATCCTACGCCTGCATGGGAGGCCAGGAAGAGGCTCCAGGCCCCTGGCTTTGGGTTGACTCAGTTCCGGCCATTGTGGCTGCTTCAGAAGTGAATCAGAGAACTGAAGATCTTCCTCTCTGTACTCCTCTCTGTGTATCTAACTTTCCAATAAAAATAAAATTAATGTTTTTTTTAAAAAAAGAAGAAATGATTGCAAAATAAGAAGTACTCTTTTAAATAGCCCGAAATCTTTTAATTGCATCATTATTGCTTTGTTCCTTCATATTTTGAAGATGTTAAGACTTTCTAGTGTTCCTTTAAAGGATAAAAATGTTTCCTGAGCTGGTCACATCTTGTTTGGTTTCCTCATTTAGGAGCTGGTCAGCCATTTAAGTGTTAGTGCCACAGATTAGACACCAAGATGGAGAAATAGCTCAGGGATGGGGTGTCCAGCGGGAAAAAGCATGGACACTGGTAAGGATGAAGTTGGGCATTGAAGATAATAAATGTCTACTTGTGGATTTGGCCTAGATTTGGCTCTGACCAAATGAGTTCTAGAGCATTTAAACATGACTGCACGGGGTTGAAAGTCCACTGGATATTCTGGGTCCGATTTGCTCTCTGTTCTCATTCTTTTCCAGCCCAGTGTAACAACATTTTCTTTGGATTTGGGTCTATCAATGATGTGTACACTCTTCCCTGTAGCAGCGGTTACAATGGAAACATCACAGCCAGGTGCCAGTCCTCCGGGTGGCAAGTCATCAGGGAAAACTGTGTGCTGTCTCAGCTGGAAGAACTGCAGAAGGTGAAGCACTTTCATTTTGTGGATGAATACTAGTTTTGAGTTTCATGTGTATATCTCCTAGTAAGCATGGCTGTGTGGAGGGGGAAATACATATGACAATTAATCATGGTGGATAAGGCAAAGGTGATATGAGACCCTTGTAAACACAGGGAATATGAGTTTGAGTGGTAGAATTGCAAAGTCAGTGTTTTTTGGTATTTTTGTTTGTTTGTTTTGTTTTAGAAACAAATGCAGTGAAGTTAACTAGGATTTGGTTACATGGAAGATGGTTGAGTAGCAACCAAGCTGGCCTCAAAAGTCCGGAACACCTGGAAATGAAAGAGTAAAGTGACAGTGTGAATTTGACCTATTTGATTAGAACAAGTAATGATTCACACATATGAAAAATACAAAAGGGAATGGATGAGACAGAAGTGAGCCATACAGAATGAGAGAACTCTAACAGGCTTTAAGGGCCATCTGGTTCATAATCTCCTTTTACAGATTAAGAAACAAAAGACCCAGGAACCAGTGGTCTCCCTGGTTGCAACACTTCTTAACTAGAAACATGCTCATTTGACTCCCAGTCCTAAGCTATGACCATATGATATGATACTGTTAGGTTTAAGTGTTTTGAAAAGATGAATGTGAAGAAGTAAGTAGAAATCCAAACTCAAGTCAAAAAAGAAGGGCTCCAAGAGCAGTTCACAGACATTGTTGTGCCAAGCAGATCTCCACACTTAGCAAAATTGCAACCCCAGCAGGAAACCCTGCTGTTACTCTAGAGAATCTCACAGTGGTATTTTAGGGGAAAAAGGGGCTGTGTTTAGGTTTCCATCTCAGACCTTAGGGGAGGAGGGTTGGACCAGATAACCAGTAGGGACCATTCTTGCTCTTGTTTGTTTTGTTTCAGTCTGGACTTGGGAAATAGTTGGGACTACTATGTTCTAGAACATAAATGTAGGAAGATCCCAAGTTCCTACTTGGTCAGAGAAAAGCTAAGTCAGCTAAGAAAAAAAGAGGGATCATGGGTAGATTTGGGTTCCTGGGTTGATGTGTTAAATATTCTTCCCTTACTACTGTCCAAGTTATCCTAGTACAATAGAAACAGACGGGAGCTTCTCATAAGAAATAAAACTCCAAATTCACCTACAAAGACAAAGCATGAACAGCCTAGTGGTCAAGTAACTATGGAAGTCCCTGATCTTGTCCTATAAGGGATTCTCAGTAGAATGGTCATAACATAGGATTAGTACCAGTAAATTTTGTTTTACTACTCCCAGCTTAGCATTCTTGAAAAGCCATCAAATCTAATTAAAACCCAATTTTTAATGTAATTTAAGTAATAATTCACATAAAATTTCTTTTTAATGACTCTTTTTCAGTTTTTGTTTTGTTAGTGTTACAAGAGCAATGATTCAGTGAATCCATGGCCAAGTATTTAACATGATGTCTGGAATAGAGAAGGCATGCAATAGCACCTGTTGTTATCAGAGCTATGTAATTATTCTACTATAAAATGCACAGTGCGAATGTTAGTTTTATGTGGCCAGGACATCCGATTTAAATTTGATGGAACACAAGTATTTTGTAGGGTTTTAGAATGTAACCATTTTTATTTTTAGAATTTTAGCATAATTGCAGAAAATGCCACTGAGTCAGACCTGTCATCCTTGGTACACAATCTTTCCGTCATCCTTCAGCAAAATCCATCAACCACATCTGGGAATCTGGCTTTCGTGGTGAATATACTGACTAGTGTTTCAGTACTGTCTCTGGCAAACCAGTTCAGGGTGTCCAATTCAACAATGGAGGTATGTTCTGCCTGTGTGTGAAGGAGAAATGACAAAAGCTGCAATGATGGGGAACCACTGGAAAAGACAGTAGAGTGGGATTACAATCCTCTTGTGAGCTTTATCACTTTCTCTGCAATATGTAAGGATCCCATTTGGTCAGTAAGTGAGTTCAACTTAAGGGGGAGATGTCTGTGCAGTTCGCCTAGGCAGCACCTGGTTGAAAGGAAGAGATGTGCCTCGGTATACACTTGTTATTCTTCATTGTGTCCTTAGTTTTGACTTTAGCAGTTTGTGTTTTAAGAATTCAATTCTCTGGACTGGAAAATTCATGGTTTCATTTTAACATTTGATAATTACTTTCAAAAATAATTTTAAAAATAATATATGGAATGTCAAATAAGCACGTAGTAAATAGTTTGTGATCTGATCATTCCAGAATAGTCACTGTTTACAATTTGGTTATCATCTCTGTTTCTGGCAGAATGAGAAGACAAAGACACACATAAAAGGTGGTTAATAAATATTTATTCAACAAATATTCTACCAATTTTGGTATATGTGTTTTATTTGTTAAAGTGTGTAGATGTAGTACAATGCATCTTATAAGAGTTCTTGGGAAATGCATATGATAAAAAAAAAACTATGCATGAATTTAAAAATATATGCCAAAACAAGCTTATCTTTTAATTCTTTTCCCAGAAACTATTCTAAGTATTCTTGTATTGTGTTTCCTAACCACCAACTTATGCACTGTATCTAGTGAACACTGTATTAAAGATGACATCCAATTAATTCCATGAATTAAAGAAAAGTTGCTCAAATTTGTTTTCTTAAAAACTTGATTACATGTTGTATATAGCGACTGGCCAAAACAAAATGAAAAAGAGGCTAAAAATAAAATGAAGAGCGAAAACAGAGTAACCAAAGACAAAGCAAAAGAATGCAAGGCTTTTTAGGGATAGTTGAGGAAGTGCACTGAGATTCTAGGCTGGAAGCCACAGCGGCTGTGTTTAGTGAGACTCTGTCCGAGTGATGGATGCCTGCAGCTGATGCCTGGGAACCAGAGCTGAAACTAAGACATAACCTTGTAGCAGAAAATGAGCTTGCAAGGAGCTGCTTGGAAAAAAAACACTCTAAGTTTGTTGGTAGTATAGACAAAACTTAAACAAGAGTAGATTTAAATTTTAACATCTATGACATGATTTTTAGTCCTTCTGATGTTATAGAAGCATAAGATAGGAAAACTTTTGAAAGTGTGGTTTCCTCTGAGTGTCAAGCCTCGATAGCAGTGCAGTCTTTTTATCACCTCAGAAAGAAGCAGCCAAAATTCGAGGGTGCTGTCATTCGGTGCTGAAATCTCAGTGTGTTTACAAATTCCTGGGTGATCCCCATAGAAATGACATGATTCTGTTGACCCAACTTCATAACCCAAGAGTCCCACAGTAATGGAGCAACTGAGTTTAATTGATGAATTTTGATGTGTTCTTCTACTAAGTCAATTTCCAAGGTGTTTTTCCTTTATTCATTATTAATAACAATTCATTCTTACTGCTCTTTTCTGCATGAAAAACACTGAGTGGCTTTCATCCTTGTATTTCAGAATGTCATCAGTATAGCTGATCACATCCTTAATCTGTCATCAGTAAAGAACTGGGCAATATTAATGCGAGAAGAAAAACACGTCAGCTCACAGTTACTGAAGACATTGGAAAATATCAGCACTCTGGTTCCTGCGACAGCTCTGCCTCTGAATTTTTCTAAAGAATTCATTGACTGGCGAGGGATTCCAGTAACTGAAAGCCAAATCAAAGATGGTTACAACTATAAGACAGAAATGTTCCCCCAAAATACCTCCATTCCTATCAGAGGCCATTTATTAATTGAGTCTGACCAGTTTCAGAAACCACTTCCTCAAACTATAATCAGCATGGCCTCATTGACCATGGGAATCATTCTACCTGTTACCACACATGGAAATTCTCAAGTCAATGGACCTTTGCTATCTACAGTTATCCAAAACTACTCTATAAATGAACTTCTCCTCATCTTTTCCAAGATAGAATCAAATCTGAGCCAGCCATACTGTGTGTTCTGGGATTTTAGTCACTTGCAGTGGAACAGTGCAGGGTGCCACCTAGTGAATGAGACTCCAGACATGGTGACGTGTCGATGTACTCACCTGACTTCCTTCTCTGTCCTGATGTCACCCTTTGTGCCTCCTGCAATCGTCCCTGTTGTGAAATGGATCACCTACGTGGGACTGAGTATTTCTATCACAAGTCTCATCTTATGCCTAGCCATTGAGGCTCTGCTGTGGAAGCAAATAAAGAAGAGCCAAACTTCTTACACACACCATATTTGCATGGTAAACCTAGCACTGTCCCTCCTGATTGCTGATGTTTGGTTTATCGTTGCTGCCATGGCGGACACCACGGCCAGCCCTCCCGGAGTCTGTATTGCTGCAGTATTCTTTACACATTTTTTCTACCTCTGTTTGTTCTTCTGGATGTTCACGCTTGGTATCCTGCTGGTGTATCGGATCATCCTTGTGTTCCATCACATGGCCCTGCCTTTGATGATGGCGATTGGCTTCTGCCTGGGCTATGGGTGCCCTCTCGTCATATCTGTCATCACCATTGCAGTCAGTCTACCTGGAAATGGCTACAGAAGTGAAGAAATGTGTTGGCTTAACTGGTCCAGTCAAAGCAAACCACTTTTGGCTTTTGTAGTCCCTGCATTGACAATTGTGACTGTGAATTTTTTTGTGTTGTTCTTAGTTCTCATGAAGCTCTGGAGGCCAGCTGTTGGAGAAAGATTGGGTCATGATGGCAAGGCCACTGTCACTCGCATGGGGAAGAGCCTCCTCATTCTGACCCCTCTGCTAGGGCTCACCTGGGGCTTTGGTATAGGAACAATGGTGGACAACCAGAATCTGGTGTGGCACATTACTTTTGCTTTATTTAATGCATTTCAGGTGAGAACAACTAGAATAACACATTCTATTTTAAAGTAATTGGAATAAGTGTAGAGAATGCTAGTTAAGTCCACTTCAGAGATTGTTTCAGCTCCCAGCCTCTAACAAGATTTGGGTTAAAACCAAATGGAAGCAGTAAGTAGAAAAACTCCATCTTCCCCAACAGTTTCCATAATATTAAACTAGAATATTGGGCTTCATCAGTGATTCAGCAATGCTAAAAGACTAGTGTTCACACAGCTGATGTTAATCTATCTTGCTGTTGATTCAGTCCTCTTTCTCTTTTCCAGACCTCTAACGAAGCACACAAAGAAAGGAAAATAAATTTTAAAAAATTTGTTGGCTCTGAATGGTGTAGAAGAAATCCCTATAGTGCAGCATAGCGGGAGCTCACCAGCTCACCAACTGTGACCAGTAGCCTGTTTCTGCACATGAAGTTTTATTGGAACAAGCCATGTTCACAAGTTTATATATATGATCTATGCTTTTGCAACCACATCAGAGTCAGATAGGGAAAACTTGCTGACCTCTGCTGTAGGGGACAGGTTCTACATGCTGCTCGGAGACTGAGTAGACAGAGTAACACTCAGGTCGAATGAGTCGAGAAGAGATCCTTCAATTCTGGTCCAATGAAATTTTGCTGGATCCCTTGGATCATGCCTCATGGAAGTAGCGGTTAAATGTTTGAACATGAGCTAAATAGGTCTGGAGTCAAATACATCGCTTAACCAATTATGTGACTTGTAACAAATCACTTAATTTTTTTTTTTTTTTTGCTCAATCCCTTCTGTGAAATAGATAATAGTATTTAGTTTATATCATAGAATAAATGTAAGGATTAAACAAGATAATTTAACACCTGGCATGGTGTCAGACACATAGTAAATGCTCAATATTTGTCTTCTAGCAGCAGGTGGTTCTCCAGGTGTTGAGCTCTTTAGCTATTGAGCATCATAGTAATGCAAGTGGTAGTCAGGCCAAGCATGCACCCGATGGTGACAAGTTAGAGAGCTCTGGTAGCATAGTAAGGGCTGATTGTTGTCTGAACAGGCACCAACTGAAGCTATTATTCAGTAGAAGGATTTCAGGGTCTAAGGAGATCTCTGCCAAGATTCCCTAAGAACTGATCTTGGAGGAAATGTTGCTCAGATCCATATTAGTTGGCTTCCTTCATTTGCTCATGGGGTTGGATCCCAGTGCCTGCTTACGTCGTGTATAGTGCACATTTATTACATGCTTTGTCTAAAGAAAGGTCAAGACAAAGCAGCAGTATTTGTTTGCGGATTAGCATGACCCAAGAAAGAGGCATAAAGTTCGACGTGCATTTAAAGCTTCATTCATACAATCATTTAGTTATATACTCAAACATTTTGTGAGTATTCTGTTACTCTAAGAACTCTGAAGATTACACAATATTGTTACTTTCAAGGAGCTTATTGTCTAGTAGAGAGAGAGAGAGAAAAGACCAGTTTCAGTGCTGGGTAACATAACAATAGTATTACACATAAGTTTTTTTCCTGGAAAAGCAAAATAAAGCAATATACGATTTTTTTCTTTCTGTTTAAGGGCTTTTTCATCTTATGTTTTGGAATACTCTTGGATAGTAAGGTAAGGGTACTACTTTTTTTCACCACCCTCTAGCTTGTTAAGCTTTTACTATAATTCAACAGACCACAATCTGAAGGCACAAAGGAAATACATATTCACTGCTGATAAGGCCAAATAGAAATCACTGCAAGTTGGATGTAAACATTTCAGGAGAAGAGTCTTTTTACCTTTATTTTTTTAATGTTTCTTATTTATGTAAAAGGAATAAATTTCATGTATTTTGTCTTTCAGTTTTAAGATCTTAACAATTCTTCACAACCTACTCCGTCTCCCTTCCTGCCTTGATCCCTTTCTTCCTCTTTCTTCCTTTTTCATTTTTCTTTAACTTTCTTTATAATATAAAGCTTAATCTTTTATTAAAAGAAAGAACACAGCAAATAGTAAGCAGAAAACCCACTGCTTCTCCAGAGCATAGTCCAGGGTTATAAACAATCAAATCTCAAAATGTCAGTTTTGCTCATATACATTTCTTTTGTACTCTGCATGTTAGTTTTGCAAATCAGAGAAAACATGATATTTGCCTTAACAGAATTTCATTCTTGTTTATAGTTGAGTAGTATTCCACTGTGTGTTATATACTATAATTCCTTTAACAGTCTTCAGTTGATGGGCAACTGAGTTGATTCCTTAAATTACGACCTGTCAATAATTTCAGAGTAAAATTACCAAGGAGTGGACTGGCTTTTGTCCCATTATTCAGCCATTTATTTATAATAAACTCTAATACATCGCTATTTCTGCATTTCTAGAGTTTGGCGTAGTAAATGTTGGTGAACCTCTCACAAAAAAATTAAGTCCCTCATAAAGAACAGTTTATGTGAAAAATAACAGGAAATTGTAAATTAAAGTGTTTCATTATTTAGACCAGGCTTTGGGTAGTTTTGTTGATGGAGGTTATGGTAATAAGCCATGAGTTATGCATTCTCTGTTTTAATAAGATTGTTTAGTACTTAGCACAATTTGGAACATGCACAGAAGCTCCTATTTATAAGGAGGCAATTTTCTGTTCTTCATTGTGCTACCTAATTGTTTTGCTTATGCCATTCACATGGTTTGCAGATCTTTCCTTTCACAAATTAATGTCAATTAACCAATTATTGCAAATGATTAATTCTAGAACCTGGGTACTCCTGTTTTGTACTACTGTTTGTACTACTGTTCTTTGATTTTAGCTATGTAAAAAGGTAAAGAGGCTAAAAAATGATCATTTCATAGGATATCCATGCTTATGGGCTATTGAGTGGCTCTAGGCAGTAATATTATTATGTATTATAATTTCAACCTGCAAGCTTTTCTTTGCATGTTTATATATTATTGTAGATGTGTGCCTCATTCATAATTCTTTTTTTTCCCTTGCAGCTTCGACAATTTCTATTCAATAAGTTTTGTCCATTAGTCTCTGGGAAGCAATCATCAAAGGTAATTTTTTCTAGTGCTGTGAGTCCAATGCCTGAAATACCAGTTTGTGTGTGTGTTTTTTCCTATGCAGTTTTGTAGCATATCCACTTCTGTGTAAGCCCCTTGGCTTTATTGATAAAGATTTATTTTTATTATCTTTTTATTGGAAAGGCGGATATACAGAGAGGAGAGACAGAGAGGAAGATCTTCCATCCAATGATTCACTCCCCAAGTGAGCGCAACGGCCAATACTAAGCCAGGAGCCTCTTCTGGGTCTCCCATGCGGGTGCAGGGTCCCAAAGTTTTGGGCCATCCTCGACTGCTTTCCTGGGCCACAGGCAGGGAGCTGGAAGGGAAGTGGGGCTGCCGGGATAGAACCGGCGCCCATATGGGATCCCGGGTGTGCAAGGCGAGGACCTTAACCACTGCGCCACTGCGCTGGGCCCACAATTATAATATCTCTTATGACACAATTATATTCCTAGTATCTTATATGGTACAGCCCATGGTTGTACTCAGCAAAGACATGTTGAATAAGAGTAAAGGCATGGACTCCTGTCTAAGCATGCTCAGTAATGAGGATCTGTGGGTACTTGTGGGCAAATATATTTGAACAACACCATTTGTTGTAGTCTGACTTGCCTCACGACATCTAGAATCAGTAGGAGCCATTCCTACACCTGACCTCCTGAAACTTCTGCAGACTATACTTTCTTCTCTAGAGAGGAAGAAGGGGACGACCTTAACTTTTAAATTATAAGCCTTATCAGTCTTTTATATAAGAAATATTCCTTCTGGATTTTTTTTCTTTGGCTGCAATCACTGACTCTGTCTATTATAGTTTGAGCTCTGAGTCTACAAGCTAACAAGCTAGTGTAGAAGCAGAAATTCCGTTATCTTACCTAAAGTTATTTTTCGAAATCCATATGCTAGCATAGTTAGAAATAAGTGGGAATGCATTATTACGCAAATTTTATATCTGTGATAGTAAGATTTTTGTCTTTTCAGCAAGGTGTTTCAGAAAGGGCTCTATAGACAGAGATTTTAGTGTTTGGTAAAAAGTCAACTTACTTAACTGAATGCAATCTAACATGGGTATTTAGAAAATTTGACAAGCAACAATATAACTTTCTGAAACAAAAATCAATAAGGAAATTATCTCCTTGCAATAAGAGTTATTCCTTTGTAATCTAAAGCAGAAGTCCATGCTGCTAGTTAGGGAGCAAGGCTTGGGAACCAGCAGACCTGCTCTGTAGTTCTGCCTCTGTAACTAATTGGTGATGTGATTTTAGGAAAGTCACTTGGTCTATTGGAGTTGAAAGTTTTTCAACTGCAAAAAATAAGTTTTGGGCTAGTTACTCAACGCAGAAGTTCTAACACAATGTGACTTGAGTTGTAGGTCTTTGAAGACCTAAAAATCCCTTAAGCCAGAAAATATGAAGCTAACGTCATTATCTCCTCTTAAGAAGGGAGTTTCAGCTCATGTGACTACATCAAAGAAAAACATCTAGTGAATAAAATGAGACAGGACATTTGCCACACTACAAAGAAGTAAGTCAGAATTTTCTTTATTTGGAAATCCGAAAACTGGGCAAAAACAAAATAAAATGAAAGCAAAACATCTGACAACATTTCCCCATGTTTCTGATTTACCTCTTTTCAGAAGGTAGCAAAAATCAGTAAGTCTGCCATTTTGAATTTATACTCCTTTCCCACTTGAGTTTTTCAGTCAAGTGATAAAAGTGAGGTTTTATTAGGCGAATGTGACAACCACTACACTATGGAAACCTAGCTAAAAGTGAGGTTTTGTTACATGACTAGGTAGCTCATTTACCTTAACATGAAAATAAATGTTGCAGAAACAGATGCATATTTGTAATTTTTAGGACTTTCAATGAAGAAGCAGTGACCCAGATTGTGAATAAGATGAAAAGTGACAATATTGGCTAGGAATGCTCTTTGTACAAATTTGGTGTGAGTGAAGAAAGCAAGGGTGACAAGCAGGAGCAGACAGGAGAGCAGAAGAGGTGGGGTGGATAAAATTGCCAGAATGTAAGTGAGTCTGTGTGCAGGGAGGGCTGGGCCAACAAAGAAAGGGTGAAAACAGGTTAGAAATGGAGGACAAGGGATACAAGAGTATTTCTGGGAAGACAGATGGAGCGAATATGAAGGCACTTGTTTTTGACACAGAAAACAGCTTGTTGCAGATAGAAACATGTACACACTAGAATTATGACTTTTAAGAGTTCAGTCCTTGCTAACTTTTTAAAGATTTATTTATTTATTTGAAAGGCAGAGTTACAGGGAGGGAAAGACAGGGCAGAGAGGCAGAGAGACGAAGAGCCAGTGTTTCCATTCACTGCTTCACATCCAAATGGCCACAGCAGCCATGGATGGGCCAGAGAGATGATAGGAGTTCAATCCAGGTCTCCATGTACATGCAGGGACCCAAGTACCAAATACTTGGGCCATCCTTTGTTACTTTCCAGGTTGTATTAATAGGGAGCTAGATCAGAAGTGGAATAGCCAGAACTCAAAGTGATGTTCTCACGGGATGTTGATGCTACAGGCAGTGGCTTTACTTGTTATCCACAGGGTTGGCAGCAGAGTATGAGACTATCCAGTGAGAGATAACAAAGGTGTGGTGAGGTGGAGATCTTGAAAAGGAGCTGTGACAATGCAAGTCACTGAAGTGGGTGAAGAAGTTGGAATATAGACCCAGCAGTAGTTGCACACAAAATTGTCTCTGTGTTTGGAATCTAAGACCCGTTTCTAGAACTTCAGTGTCACTAGTCATGTTCTCTGTAACTTCTCACAAAGAAGCAGCTCCAGTGACCTCAAAAGCCCACCGTTCCATAAAGAATGGGTTTATTGAGCTACACTCCTATAACGCAGATCATGTAGTCAGCCAGTGATTTAGACCCTTAGAATTATTGTCATGTTCCTGAAGAGACTGATTATTCCCAGACTACACAGGACTTAAGACTCTAGATTTGAGACAGGATGTAGGTTTAAATTCAGAGATCATGATTTCAGGATTTTTTTTTCATGGCTGTGCCATTTTATGAGGGCACCTCAAAAAGTTTATGAAAGAATGGAATCAGAGATAAATCTGTTTTGTTACCAAAAAAATTAAAATCTGTCCTTGAAAGGTTTTCAGAACTTTTATGAAGAATTGAAATTATTAAAAAAAAAACTGTGTGTGGGTTTCAAAATTTGGGCATCAAAGTAAACTTATCTTTTAAGTCTAGCTTCCTGGAGATAATGTCTTCTTATATATTTGCTGAATCCTGATTTCTGGGAGATCAATTCTTTTTGAATGTTTCAGATCTTTTCCATTCATGCTACTTATAACTTTTTTTTCTCAATAGCCACTTGTATGGTTTAGTGAAAATTAGAATCATTCTTCTGCCTGCTGTTTATAGTAGAAACTCTGCTTCTCTCACCCTACACTTGACTCCTTCTGAGTGTAATGGAATGGGACTTAATGCATTCTAATATTTCCAGTGTCTCCAACAGTATCTGACACACAACGTCTCTCAAACTGTGATGCTAATAAATGAGCAATGAGTCAAGAATGGTAAAGGACACAATACATCCTAATGCATTAATCTTCCCAATAAGTACGTTCTCTTCATTTGAAATATTTATCTTGGTTTGATAATTCAGTTTTTGAATTATTGAACTGTGAGTGGTGTCTGCACCATTTGACTGAAGGGTTATTCCCAAGGCTATCTGAATGGTAAGGCAAAGAAGAGTAAGGCACAGTTTGGTCTCTTTCCTGGAGACCAGTTTTTTTTTTTCCCTCCCTGGGGTGTTGTTTTATTTCTTCTTGTGTCTTCTTCTTGTGGTGATAGATGTGTGAAAAGGTAAGAACGAAAGTAAATGAAAAGAGATACTATCTCATTTAAAAACAATTTTCTAATTTGCTGTTAGAAGTTGCACAACAACACAAAATTCTTTGGAGATAAGTTCTTCACTATTTTAAGTTGATGAAAGAATGACTGTTCTTGGAAAGAGAGTGTGTAGATGTAATAATAGTCTATTAATAACATTAAGGAACCAGAAAAAATAGACTGTCACTGCCATGTTACTGTCGGTCTGCAAATTACTTGTTCTTTTTTGCAGCAAAATTCATCAGATGTATCAACAAAGCCCAAATTTGTGCAGACCTTTAACCCCCTGCAAAACAAAGGTGAGTTACAATACCACCTAAGGTTATACAAAGAGGAAAGAGAATATGAGTATATTTCATGAGGAAAATCCGAGAGTGACTGTTCAAAACAAAACTGTGAGAAGTGTATCTGCTGCCTCTGTGTTGTCCACAGTTCTGAATTGTGCTCAGGGATGACAGAACAATGCTGAGGAGTTGATGTTCATGGAGATTGGCAAGGTCACTAGGTAGTTGCATCCTGAATTATCTCTATTACTTAGACATTACTCAATGTTTGGTTATCTCTGTTACTTACAATTGTTTGGTTAGAAAAATCAACTGTGTTCCCATGGAGACCCACCTATTTTTCCCATCTAATGAGTGGGCACCAAGTATGTATGCTTGTGTCCTGATGCTTTATGTCTCCTCACTGCAGTGTCCTTCGGGAGTGAGGGACCATGCCGTGGCACAGTCCCCTCTGCCTATGGAATCTGCAAGTGCCGTGTCATGTATTAATGGCGAATAAAGTCTGTAATGTTCAGCTGCTGGGAGACCAACATTTAAACATGGAAAATGGTATCGGTGCTCCTGGAGGATAGCAGTAGAGCATGTAAAGAGAGATGTTTTAAGTTAAGCTGAAATCATATTTACGAGTCCAAGTTTCATTTCACGTTCACCATGTTATTATTGTTATTAAGATACATTAGTGAGAAACTCAGTTTAGAGTCCCAGTATAAGCTATTTTAATACCAGATAATGTCTGGAGAATCTTCCACTTATAGGGTCACTCCCCAAGTGGCTGCAACAGCTGGAGCTGAGGCTGTCTGCACCAAAGAGTCAGAAGCTTCCTCTATGATTTCCATGTGAATGTGGGGCTCAAGCACTTGGGCCATCCTTGCTGCTTTATCAGGCTATCAGCAGGGAGCTGGATTAGAAATGGAGCAGCTGAGGTTTGAACTGGATGTTCCTATGCTATGTTGGTACTGCAGGTGGTGACTTAACTTGATATACCACCTCATCAGCCCCTAGATGTTTACTTGTTATCAGAAAAACAATAAACCAAGAGATAATTGAAGTTTATTCCAGCAAAAACATGCTGTAATTGAGTGTCCACTTTATTTCATTTTCCAACAATATCTGAAAACATGGTACATTGCTTCTCAAATGAGAAATTCCAAACAATGCCAACTTCAGTGGTGGCAGGAACATGCTGTACATCTTGACCAAATATTTACCATACCATCTCTAACATTTTTTCAACAACTGCCTGTCAGACAGTTTACAGGCTAGTTTTTTTCTCTTATTCATGACTCTAACAAAAGAGCAATTAATTCTTGTCTTCTTTTTTCTCCCTCAGGCAGCTATACATTTTCTCACTCTATGGATTCCACCCAAGACATCATGCTAACTCAGTTTTTATCAATGGAATCATGCAAAGAAAACTAAAATCAAGGAAAAACTTCTGAAGCCCCAAGACATCTAGAGCTGAATGTCAGTGAACAATTATTTGTCACTTTAGATGGGGTTTTCTGATTTAACAAGTTGGAATAAAACGAGGTTGTCTCAGTGACTTCATCACCATCTGCTTTGTATTTATCAGTTTAATGGAAGGAAGATTTATTTACGCATTATTGGATTAAAAGAAATGCTCTATAAATGTGGAACTTTATATTTTGCTGGAAAATCTGTTGACTGTAGCTTCCTTTCATGACTACAAAATATGGTTTCCTTCATCAGAAAATAGTCTGTAGATTTCCAACCATGTGGATTGGAGCAAGAAAGCATCATGAAATAGCCTTAGATAATATGTTTTAAAAGCCCTTGATATGAATTTCCTAGACAAAAAGCAGTTAATGCTTGTCTTTGTTTCTTAGGTTCAGCTATTTAATTTTAAAAATTAAAAATAAAGCGAAAGTTTCCATTTCAGATAGTTTTGCAGCCTTTTGCCAAAAAGCATACTACAGCGATTTGATGTGAATTATGATCTTTTCTGGATTATGAGACAAATACACTTTGTTCTAATCCCAACAAAATGAAATGTCCAGACAGGCCTAGTACAGAGATGAGGATATGTGGGCCAATAGAAATGAAGAAATTTGCCAAAGACTGGGGGCTCAGTAAAGGGGAAGTGGGAACTTGTAGGACCTTTGCTTCCTGCTGCATTTAACAGTCCTGTAAGATTTCTGAAAATGACATATAGCCCTAAGAAATCTTTATGAGAGTAGGTATATTGTTCATCATGCTCAGAATTCTTTCTTTCTTTTTTTTTTAAAGATTTATTTTATTTTTATTGGAAAGACGGATGTACAGAGAGGAGAGACAGAGAGGAAGATCTTCCCTCCGATGATTCACTCCCCAGGCGGCCCCAACGGCTGGAGCTGAGCCAATCCGAAGCCAGGAACCTCTTCCTGGTATCCTACGGGGGTGGCAGGGTCCCAAAGCTTTGGGCAGTCCTTGGCTGCTTTCCTGGGCCACAGGCAGGGAGCTGGATGGGAAGCAGGGCTGCTGGGATAGAACCGGCGCCCATATGGGATCCCGGGCGTGCAAGGCGAGGACCTTAACCACTGTGCCATCACACCAGGCCCAGAATTCTTTCTTTGTAAGAGGAAATCTGGGAAAGAATTTCGTTATCAACTTCCAAGGAGAGACCCTGAAACATTCTGACTTTCTTTTGAAGTTACTTATGAGCATGGCTAGCGCTATTCCTGAAAGAGAGACTCAAGTAAATAGACATGTGTCGCTTCCATATTGATGCCATTTCTCCTTCATTGGAGTTTCATCTCACACCACAATGCTCAAAGAATCCAAGCTCTTAGATTCAGCTTCATCATTTTGAGAATTGTAAAATCTTATGAGCACCTGTTAGCATCCTGACATGAAATGCATTTGTGAGGCTAGTGTTGTGGCCATTGACTGCAACGTCAGATTCCTTTATGGGTACCAGCTTAAGTCCCAGCTGGGCCCCTACACCCATGTGGGAAATTTAGAAGAAGCTCTCTGTTCTTGGCTTTAGCCTGGCCCAACCCTTACCTTTGCAGCCATTTATGGAGGGAACCAGCAGATGGATGATCTCTCTCTGTCTCTCCCATCTGTGTGTAACTGCCTTTCAAATCTTCAAGGAGGAAAGTGTTCATGATATGCAAATGAAGATGTCATGAGAACCTTCTAGTTAATGCTCTTGAATTAAATAGACTTGCATAGAGAAAATGGAAATTTAAAGGTCCACAAAGCACAAAGATGCAATACTCATGAAATATCAAAATGGAATGTTTAAAGGCTTCATATGCTACAAAGATACATAGGAATTCTTTAAAAGTTTATGAAAAGGATCTAGCTGGACAAACTTATTCTGCATAGTCCCTAATGTGAGAGCAGGAGGAATGCTTGCTCTCAACCTCAAACTTAATAAGGCTTCTGAGATAATCTTCTCTGGGGTCACAACAATTAGAGTGCATGTCTGACTGTATTGAGTGATCCCTCTTTATTCCCTTCAGTTATGAACCAGACTCTTGACAACATAGAAAGGTGATCCTAACTTATATAAAACAATTCACTTTTAGGGACCTAGGGGAAAGTGGTCAGAAACCTTAGTGCATGATGTAAGGTAGACAGAATATGAGAAGAGTAAACAGAAATATTAGCCAGCAAGAGAAGACAACCCAAAACAGGACTCAACTTGGAGTGAAGAAAAGATTTTCATTATTAAATCATATTGAGCATACCAATTACCAACTACCTAAATTAAAAAAAAAATTATTTCTTTCATTGGAAAGGCAGATTTCCAGAGAGAAGGAGAGACAGAGAGAAAGATTTGCCATCCCCTGATTCACTCCCCAAATGACTGTAATGGCCAGAGATGAGCCCATCCAAAGACAGGAGCCAGGAGCTTATTCCAAGCAGGGGTGCAGGGGTCCAAGGTCTTGGGCTACCCTCCATTGCTCTCCCAGGCCATCAGCAAGGAGCTGTATCAACTGAGAAGTTGGGTCAACTGAGAACAAACTGACCCCATGTGTGATGCCAGCCCTTGCAGGCAGAGAATTAGCCTGTTGAGACACCATGCTGGTCCTGAAACAACTTAAAAATTCCAAAATGTTGTTATAACCCAGACATATTGGAATATAACTGGTTTATATCTCATGGGAAAAGGAAAATGTTTTCACACTAAATAAATCCTGAAGAATGACAGGAGACAAAATCAAATGTGTTTGATCATATACCATGGTTATGTTTGTCTAATGCACTGATTGCAATACATACCAAAATGATATTAAAAGAGCAATAAAAGATTAAAAAAAGATAAAGGCATTGTAACACTTCTATATTGCTGCATCTTCTATTTGCAATCATCATACAAAAAAGCCACAACCTTGCAGCTTTAGTAACACATGTTTCTTAAGATATTCATGGATGTGTATTTCCCATACAGCTTTGCTGCTCTTTTATTCAGGATGTTACAAGGCTATAATACAGGAGATGGGTGGACTGTGTTTGAATTCAGAAGCACAACTGAGGAACAATTCCCTTCCAACATACTCAAATTGTTGGCAGAATTAATTTCCTTGCAGAGAATGAAGATGCCAGCTATTTTCACATAACGTTGTTGGAGGCTGTTTGTTTGCCACTGGCCCTTATCCAAACTGACCACTTTCAATATTTAAACCTGTAAATCGAGTCTCCAATTTCTGTTGTGTTTAAGACTTTTGTGCAATACAAGTTGATAAGGAGAGTAACGTTCTGTAACTTCTCCGTGTTCTACTGCTTAGAAGGAAATCACGGTTCCTAGCCCCAGTGAGAGAGGAAGACAGCACTGTAGATCTCAGACATGAACACTCAACCTCAAAGAATGAGTGAGGCGATCCCATCAGCAAGAAGACTTTGGGAAGTAGGCAAAGTGATATCTGACTTAGAAGGCCTAAGAAATTTAATTATTGAGCCAATAGTGAAAAGGTACAAAGCAATCTGTTTTTATGTGGTGAAGGACCCCAAAAAACTCAAGAAGTGGTGACACCATGAACTTTAAGAAGTAAAGGTACATTTGTAATTGAATGGTCACCATAGGAAGCATTTAGACTTCTAGATCCCAATCAACTGCCTTTTCATGTTAGTAGTAGATGATAAGAGGTTAAGGAGAAACAGTCTGCTTCAACTATAAGAGACCAGAATCAGTTGAGATTTTATAGCACACTGTCCCCCAGAAACAGGAATTTAGTGAAAGCTGAGGTATAGCCCTGACTGCAAGTCTTAGACTTTCCAAGTCAGTTCGAATAGCCATTTCTAAAGAATCTTATTCCATCAGAGGAAAACATTGACAACCAGAACTTTGATTTTTCAATGGTGACTATATCTAACCTCTTACACAGACCATAACAATCAGTTTTTTAATGTCCATGTCTTGAACATAAGCAAATAGCCAAGGAACACTAGGCATTTCATGGAATCTTCTACTATTAAATCCAAGACAAGAAATCAAAACTATTAAGAAAAAAGGCTAAAAAGAGAGAGAGATAGTGTGGTGTCACCACATGGCTATTCTAGAAGCTGACCCACAGCAGTGAGAGAACAAGCAGAGAAATATAAATGGAAGGGGCTAGATGACTTGAAGTCCAGAGACTTAGGAATGATCAATGTTTTCCTCAACAGGATCTTGTCTCTATGCACAGATGTTAGAAAATGGAATAGATACCCACAAAAGCATATCTTTGAATTTAAGTGTGTTGACAGTTTGATTAGAGAAGAATAAAATTGAGAAAACAACCCCAAAAGTATATGCACAGATATCATATTTTCTTATCTTTCACTTGTCCTTCCAGAAAAAAAAAATAAAAGATTTGAGAGATTTTTACTCTGTTATCCTCTAGAACATTTCTTGACTGATGAAGGTTTTGGTAAAAGCCCCAAATCTATGTCCTTCACATTTTAAATTTTATTATTATTATTATTTATTTATTTGTTTATTTATTTATTTATTATTATTTATTTTACTGCATGAAGTCAACTTGCCTTAACTAAAATACAACAGGGATGAACTGTGCTTCCTCTTATCCGACTTCAGGGGGCAGACTCTGATCAAGAAATAAGACCTGGACAAATTGCTCAAAGTGTAATACACCTGAGATCCACCCTTCGTACATGGGAGTACAAACGGCACTTTAATCCCCTTCCGCTAATTAGGCAGGATTTACAATACTGCTCCTGAGTTTTGTATAACAAAAGAGATCAAGGAGTAAAAAATGAAATAGCTCAGTTTCCAGATGACCAACAGTGCCTCTGTTTCCTGGATTGATGCCCAAGAGTGCGGCTGGTGAACAATGAAGCCTGCTGCTAAGCGAAGAAGGAATTAGGCACAGTGGGAGTGCAATTTTCACCTACTTGGAAAGTAGAGCTTTATTTATATTGGGGCTGGGTCAGTGAAATACATCTTATGCATCTTGGGTAAATACAGTTTGTCCAAGTGCACAGTGCAACATACATGGGGAATTTCCTATGCTGCTTGATCTCTTTCTCTAGGAAGAAATAATTTAGAAAATTTTGTGTGGTTTTGTCAGACAAAAGTCACACTTCTGTGA